AATTATGAATAATGAGGGGTGAAGTGACACTCGTATCGACCAGACCTGCAACCTCGCGCTGACGACGGCTGTCGCAACCGTCTGCCCACCACTGGCCGGCTTTATTGTTGTTGTTGGGATTATTATTATTATTATTATTTATTATTATTATTATTATTATTATATTATTATTATTATTATTTTTGGCGTAAGGCCATTACTGACCACGCTACACGATTAACGTGTTAAGTCTTTCAGGATCAGCTTTGCAGCTGTATCCTTTGGATATACAACAAGGTGTTTACGCCTTTTAGGGTGTGACTTATGAGATGATAGGATGATGATGATAGCGTGAAGGGACCAAATCACAAATACGACCATGTCTACGCAGGACTCAACCTGCGCCTCCTCGGCACGACAGACGGCTGCCGCACCGTCTGCGCCACGGGGCCGACTGCAAGCTGTTCTGCCTGACGGCGTTCAGGGGCCACGAGGCGCCGCTTGCCTCTCTGGAGGACGTGGCGCGCAGCGGGCTGCGCTTGGCCGTCGACCTGCCGGAGGCAAAGACGAACAAGTACGGATGTTTCCTCATATTTTGGTTTATTATAATGTTATATTGGTAAAAAAATTTGTTTCGGTATTTTGCGATATGCCGGAAATTGCATATTTAATGTAATGTAATTCATTCTAATTCATTCAAAACATAACAAACAGGTATATATGAAAAAATAATAAACATTAGTACGTAATGATTAATCTTACCTGCCAGAATTGGTAAAATTCAATGCTCACATTCAGGAGTGTTGTGTATAGCATCAGGTGCTATCTGATGTTTCATCCTTGTAAATTTTCAATGAAGAATATTCAACTATTTCTAAAACTTAACGAAGTATAGATTCAAATGGAGCTCATCTTTCCTATAAAATAATATTTCCAAGAAATAATCAAAATTAACTTCTCCAGTAGTTGCGGTACAGTAGGACTTACGCAGAACGTTTTCGCATAGTTTCCAAAATGAGTTCCGAACAGAATGACTTGCAGCATGTAACTCTAACCCCCTAATTATGAATTTGTCCACATTGTTCTTGTTTTAATTGAAAGTATATTTAGTTATTAAGTGAACTATTTCCAGAAAAACTAAGTTTTGAACAAGAAACAAAATCACATTGTTAGAAATAAAAAAAATGTAACATACATTCTCTCATCATAATCTAAGTTTAATTTTTTGTTTGTTTTGTGCTGACTGTGAGGGCAGCAGAAATTCGCGTTTTAAAAAAGGAACCAATTTTTTGCCTTAATAACCCGTGAAAAGAAATTAAATTAATTAATGTTTAAAATCTACTTTCCTATCTGTACTTTTAAAAAAACTTTTCTATTTCAATCATCTTTATATGTTGTTTTTAAGTGTTCGGAAAATATAAAATTGTCCATTATAATATCCATAATATCCAATAAAACTAAGCTTTCTGCACGAGATTAAATAGCTCTTTAATACCTCCTATATAATGAAAGATATTGGTGACAATAAATAACATTAATGGTACAGGCATAACATTACTACATTTTTTATGTTAAAAAACATATATTGTAAGATAAAAATTGTAAGTTACAGATCGCTACCATGAGCTCGTCATTATACACTTACAAGGTTTTAGTAGTAATAAATTTGTATACATTTATATTTAACAGTTATTTTAAATTTTATGGTATGTGATAAAAGTGGCATTTTTTGCGTGTAGGCAAAGTTGCGACACGAGACCGATAGACAGGGGCATAACCTTTGACACGTGTATCACGGACTATTTTTAGACACACTTACTGACATTCATTTTATTTTAATTCAAGAATACAAATAATTTTTGATTATGTATTATGTTATATCAAAGTTGGTAGAGGCCATGAAACTACGAATACAGGGAGATGGCATGACGTCACAAACTTGAAGCCATATTGCTGTGCCCAAAACATTTATAGGCATCCTTGTGTAGAAGTGTGTTATTTGTCATAGTTTTTAGTATTTAAAAGCCATAATCAGATTAACATGGCTTCGTAAGAGTTCGTCGTGTTTGCTTGTGTGGGTTACTGTAGTACAAATTGTTCGGAGAAGACGTGAATTACTTTTAACAAGTAAGTAGTTACTCTGTATGTTTGGAGAATATAGTAACATTTTGAGGTATTGGTTAATTTTTATGATTTTTTCCCTTCGTACCTAAAGAGAAGAGCACTGTGAATTAGAAATGTGCAAACAGACAACTGGCAGTGTAGTACTTGCAGCAAATTTTGATCGGTTCATTTGCAAGAAGAGGACTTTGATTGAACTTCATTGTGATACATACGTTTGTGGAAACGCAGTTCCAACAATTTTAACAGCTTTTCTGTCACATGAAGAGAAGCTCATTGTGCAGAAATAAACGAGTTTTGGGCACACCGATACAGCGGACGGCTCTGTCCCCTGGCCCCTGGCTTTACTTGCGGAACATGGGAGAGGTTGGTAATGCCACCTCCGTGTATTCATAGCTCCATGGTAGTGGCCGATGCGGTCAGTCTAGCGTATTCCAGTTTACTTTGTTAGATTAACAGATTTATCAGAATATTTGAGCATCGTCTCAATTTTACCACTAGTGCTAAAATTGAACTTTTACCATGCTCTGCATGACCTTTAACATTCAACCGCTTTTACTATGGCTGACTAAAAACATTATTATCTGTAATTTTTCACTTGCCCTTCCCGCCGTATAGGTCAGCTCCGCCTCTCGACTACAAGGTTCTGGCGCCCTTGTGGGGGCGGGTCGTTTCCTCGTACAGCCTGGAGAAGCCCGGGAACCGCTCGCTCCTCGCACGCAGCGAACGTGTGGCCTTCATCACGCACCTGGCGGACTCGGTACGCGCCCAGCGCCTCGGCTTCATGGACGACAAGACCCTGCTCGCGCGGCCCCTCCAGCCCGCCTACAGCTTCCTCTACGTGCGCAGGTCAGCAACGGACGCACCAAGGAGGGCGAAAACACGGGTGTCGCGGAATAAATGTTACCAACTTCTATTGTACACATTTAAATAGAGTGATTCCCCGAGGAGGAAACGGGAATAAATGTTACCATCTTCTATTGTCCTCATTTAAATAGAGTGATTCCCCAAAGAGGAAAGGGCAATAAATGTTGCCAACTTCTAGTGTCCCCATTTAAACATAGAGATTTCTAAAGGACGAGAGTTGGAAGGAGAGGGGGCACTGTCGTCCAATTGGGAGCTTCAGTACCAAAAATTGAACGTTTATGTCAAACTGCGCCCACACGAGCTACGTGCCCGCCTAGAAAGCCCAGTGCTCCTGCAAGTTGACACCGCCCTCATTTCCCCTCCAAATCGAGAACGAGTTGATCACGTGCAACTTTAAGAAGTGAGGCAGGTAAAAGTGACTTTATACAAAAATCTTTATCAGATTTGTTATATCAAACTACCTAGTTAATACAATTATTGCACTTTTAAGTAAGCAGATTAAGAAACCATGATACTTTTGATTCCAAATGTTTTATTTGACTTTAATTTGATAATTTAAAATCTGACTGGTGTATTATTTCATTTTAGTGGATCATTTATTTTCTTTAATAGTGGGAATAAGAATTAACAGAGCTAAATTTGGGGAAATGATGTGATTTGACTTCTCCAAAACACAGACATGGGCCAATTATCGTCACTCCGGAGCAATTTTTATAACCCTTACCTTCGAGCTCGCGCAAGTTGTTCTGGACAGAGTGCCCGCATTACGTAACCTTATCTGCGACTTTCACATACCTGTTCTAGGGCATGAGATGGGTCACTTTATTGTCTCTGGCATGTGAGGAATCTCATATTAGGGAGTTGCACACTTCACATTAGTCCCATATTGGTGTGCAACTTGGCGTGCACTCGTGCAGATTAGAGGCGGCTGCTCCGAAAGGGCCTTGGAAAATCTTGAGAAATCTTGCAATAAATCGACTGGTTTAATTTGTACAAAGATAAAAGTTTTTGGAATTGGTAGCATAGTGGACTATCGGGAGTCTGTCCGTAGCTGGTGAATGCGAAACAATGGAAGCTTGACGAAGAGTGGGATACTAGGAGTTGGGTACTAGGAGTTGCGTGGGGCCGCGTGCTCCTATTGCGGTTTTGTTTGTCAGAATACGCGGCTATTAACTAAGCCAAAAATACTCACCCTTTCATCTGTTTTTATAAATTACAGTTTTGATTGTTGAAAATATATTTTTTTAATCTTCTATTTGCGCGTGAGCACAATTGTATCCTCCGATATTTATGTGAAAGTTGTCTTATACCGTGATTAAAATCCCGATACGTGCAAGTCGGTTGTACTCTACATTCTATAGTTTTCCTCGTTCCAGAAATATTTTGAAGACGTAAAATCTATGTGATAGTTCGGACATACGAAGTGTGTTCGAAAACAAACGGGAATTTTGTTATTGCACGGGTAGTTTTAGTATGCTTCGCGCGATTGTTATTTATTGTGTTGGTAAACATGACTAAAATGCACCTTCACACTGGTTCCATTGTTGGATGGTTAGTCTGTTGTTAGTTGCGAAGAAGATTACGTGTGTTTGCTTATTAGTCACCATTGATATTATACACTTATGTCTGCGGCTTTCTTCCATCCCCGAAACGCTTCTATAACCTCCATCTTTAGATAGTGTAACTATTAGCCAGCGGCCTCGGCATCTATTTGGGACGCTGCAAGAGATTAGCCTTGCCACAGAAGAAGGGTTTTCCGTAAAGGAAGAACGCGAAACGGGAACACAAGCTTTGGGAGATCCAGCCATAGAAACTTTTTCACTTCTGTAACAAGCGAGGGTGGTGACTAGTAGGTTCACGTGGGCCTCGCTTATATATAGAGTGTACAGAGCCATGTGTGGTTCTGGAGACGTGGGAGAGAACTCTCGTGTGCACAAAAACTTGGCGCCACGACGGTTATATGCAGCCAGGCTCCGAGGCTCGATCACTAGTTGACAAGCCTGAGGACTTAGTCCTTGGTGACTGGCTCACAGGACATGCTGTTGCGTGCTCCAGGTAAGGAGTGTTGCAGTTCCACGAATTCACCGCCGATTCTCAATCGATAAGATCGCTCCTCGATTAGAGCAAACAGCCTTGGTGCGCCAGAACGGACTTGTTCCAGCCCGAAAATTTGTTTTAGACGTAATACCACACACTTAAAACAATATTG